AGAGAAGAGTAGTATTGCAGGGATAATTTCAAAACAATGTCCCAACAGTCATGCAGTGAAAAAGGTCATTCAAAGCATACTGAAGAATGTGGAGAAGCTTCTGTTTATAATTGATGGGTTTGATGAATTAAGGTATTCCTTTGATCAGCCTGGAGACTACTTTTGCACTGACCCCTGGAAGAAAGAGCCAGTGAAAATTCTTTTGAGCAGCTTATTTCAAAAAAAGCTTCTTCCTGAATCCTATCTTATAATCACAACAAGACCAACTGCTTTGAAGAAACTCCATGGATGTTTAGAGCACCCACGTTATTTTGAGATATTGGGGTTTTCTCTAAAGGAGAGGCAAGAATATTTCAATAGATTTTTTGAAAAGAAAGACCAAGCAACTCAAGCTTTCAGATTGGTTAAACAAAATGATACCCTTCTCACCATGTGCGTGATTCCCCTTGTGAGCTGGATCATCTGCACAGTGATGAAACAAGAGATGGAGAGAGGCCAGGATCTCCAGAAGACGCCATACACCATCACTGCAGTCTATATGCTGTATCTCTCCAGTTTGCTAAAGTTTCACCATAATGCATCCAACCAGGATTTCCAAATAAACATGAAAGGCTTGTGCTCTTTGGCTGCAGAAGGACTCTGGAAACAGGAAATACTGTTTATGGAAGAAGAAGTCAAGAAGCACAATTTAGATGAGAAAAACTCCCTCTCCCTCTTTCTGAATCAGAGCATCTTCAAAAGGGACATTGATTGTATTCAAACCTACAGCTTCATTCACTTAAGCTTCCAGGAGTTTTTTGCTGCTTTGTTTTACGTTCTAGAAGGAGGAGAGGAGCAGCATTCTGAAAATGTCAGTAAAAATTTGCAGACACTGTTAGAACAGTCTTTATCTTCTAGGTTTGATTTAACAATGACAGTTCGCTTCCTCTTTGGTATTTTAAATGAAGAAAAAAGAATGACACGGTTAAAACAAGAATTTGGATGGAAAATTCCTCCTAAGAATAAAGAGTTCTTATTAGACTGGGTGAAAAATGAAATTCAAAACGGGGGAATTAGTACCGGTTTGGAACAACAAATGTTTAGTTATTTGTGTGAGACACAAGATGACAGTGTTGTAAAAAATGCATTGTATAATGTGACTGCAGTACGTTATGAGTGTAACTCAGTTATGGAATTGATGATCTTGGTCTATTGTGTACAACACTGCGAGAATTTGGAGGATCTCACTGTTAAAGGCTGTATATTTCTAAATGAGATAGAGGAAGAAATATTTCCACCAGAAAATGCGTAAGTATTTTTGAAAATCTGTTGAACATTTAATTCAGTTTATGATCCTGGCACCACTAATCTCTAATGTGCCATCTTAAATATAACAATAGGCTAGGAAAAATGCCACTTAATAGTATGCATAAATGTCTTTGGGCAATTAAGTTAAGGAGGGGTTTCAAATCCTTAGCGAGATATTGCTTGGTTGGGTGGGTATGGAAGGATCATGAACTAAAAATGAGCACTTGTCCATTGATGAGGCCAACCCCAATCAATCCCACTTCAACTTAAGAAACTGATGGTCAAATCACCAGGAAGTGTTCAGCTCAGCTCAGTTGGTGAGGCAATTGCTGTTGAAATCTAGAGGCTTTAACAAATTTAAATAAATAAATAAATAAATAAAAGAATAATGCCATTTAAAAAATGTGAACATCTTATACATAGCCCAACACTGTCTTTGATAACTGCATGCTAATTCAAGGTTGGAACCCCCTTCTCAGTTCAGAGATCTTTTGAAAAACTATTTTTTTCCATGTCTGTTTCCATCTTCAATGTCTTTACAGATGTTGTTGTAATACAGGTAGTCCTCAGTTTATGTCCATTCATTCAGGAACTGTTCAAAGTTAGAGCAGTGCTGAAAAAATGGACTTATGACCAGTCATTGAAGCTGTAGCTGTCACAGCATCCCTGTGGTCATGTGAGCGCAATCTAGGCACTAGGGTGCCTGGATTGCAATTACAACAGTAAGCTTCATCAGGTGGATTGCCATTTGTGCCCTTCTCTGCTGGCTTCCCATAAGCCAAGTCAATGGGAAGCTGGCAGGGAAGGTCGCAAGTCACTCCAGTAAGTCACTCCTGCCGCTTTTTCTCCTGAGGAGCTCACTATGATTTATGAGATCCATGGGCTCTCATACTCCGTAGCACTCCCTGCCTGCCTGAACTCTGTAGTGTATGCCCACCCACAGCAAACCCATGCCCACATGTAGCCCCTGCTGACCCACCTGCACCTCCCACCTGTCCTCCTGCAGTATCCGCCAACCTGCCCGAGGCCTCAACTGGCACTCCTGCAACACCCATAGCCCTCCCTCTGGCCTACCTATGCTCTGTAGCACTTCACCCCTACTTGGACTTCCAGGTTTGCTGTCGCTAAGTGATGCAGTCACATGACATCATGCTTTGCAACTTCATCACTTATGGGTAGCAATCCCAGTCCCAAATGCCATCATAACCCGAGGACTACCTGTACTGCTTCTTGTTGCTTCTAACAGCTCCATGAAACTCTTAAGTTCCTTCCTGAGATTTTTGTCTTTTTGATAATAGCTCAGGAATAAAGTGACTAACAGAGCAGTTAATCTTCAGAACTTGTCTTGGAACTTGTATCATCAGAGTGGTCTGTTACAGTCCAGTATTCAAGCACCAGAGAATCCATGAGCCAGTCTGAATGTCAGGCCTGGGATCTGGAGGCTGGAGGATCACTACTGGAGCTGCTCTCATATAGTGCCATGGGCTGACATGTCTTGATTAGGTGCACTGCTGCCACCTTCTTTCAAGGAGATGCACTGATTGCCTCTGCTCAGCCCTTCATAGCTCCCAGTGTGTCCTTGCCTAGGCTCCCCGCTAGAATGCGTTCCCCCAATATCTGAACTGGGCCTCATCTGCTCTGACTCTTTGTCCCCTGAAGCTGTCATGGGTGCATGATTGCCTGCTTGCTTTTCAGGCCGACAATCGGTCTGGTCCCCCCTTCAACCCCTGACTCAGAAGACTGATAGAATCATAACAGTATTAGGGAAGCAAGCACAAATCCGTCACTTGTGGGGAGGGGGGTCTTGGACAACACCTACTTAGACATTTTGTACTAGCACTCTTGTCAACTTCACATTGCTTAAAACAGATAGGTCCACCATTTGCTATTCCATCTGTGAATAGCAGATGGTGGTTTTTTATAAATGTCCAGCCTTTCCAGTGATTTTGTACAATTAAAAAAAAAAAAACCTAAAAAAATGTCCATGGAGGCAACAGCCAGTGACCAGAGGGAAGAAGGCATTCGTGCCAGAGTGCAGAATAGCCAGTTGGAGCAGAGATGTTTGCCTAAAATAAAATGAAGCTCAGCCAGTGATCGAGACAGTCCCACTTGTTTGTAATTATAGGCAATGGTTATCCTTTGAATATGAATAGATATGACCACATATGAGTGTGGTATGCATGTGTGCATGAGTGTGTCATATTTAGACATTCCTTCTCACTTCTAAGTTGTGGCACTTAGAGATTCCTGAAATATTCTCTCTGCTTATTCCTTTTCTTTGTATCTAGAATGCCATGCCAAATCTTAATTCCTTTAAGCGATGCTCTATAACCATTTCATTTACAAAATGGTCTTTTCTTACCAGTATTTTCCCTTACTACAACATGAGTGCTTTCTTTTATGGTTACTTGACAAATAGACTGGAATGCCAATTGTATTTGAAAAGTAGAGGAAGTGGAAACACTGAAATCAAAGTCTGAGAGTAAAAATGTCTTTCCCCTTTAGGGAATGGAGTATGCGTGAAAGATATATGGAAGACTTTTTTAAAGCACTGATGGAGCTGAGAAACTTAACAAGCCTAGAGTAAGAAACTGCTTGCATTTTATCACAAATGTTTTTGATACAAAACCAATACATGGCATTAGAAGCTTGCATATTATCTTAAATATTATTGTTATAGCAGTCTCTCATCAATTTCTTATGATATGAAAAACTGAGAAGAAACCACTCCACCCTCAGTATTGATTTCAGCTCTGAGCATAACAGACCTGCTGTGGTCTGCTGTTAGGGAGGCTTAAGCTTCTGAAGCCTGGGAATGATCTTGATGCATGAAGTTCTTGACACATGATAACAATGATCTACTTTCATCAGCAGGTAGGTCAGCTCCATTACAATGATTGTTTCCTTGAGGAAACATTGGGACACAAGCTCAAAGGGTTGTGAGTCAAATCTTTCTGCTTGAATTGCATTTTTGAATGTGAGGATGAGGAGAAAGCTCAGGGCTGCCGCAGCAGATGAACAATCCTGGGACTGGGTGTTGTGTCCATGGCTTCAAGAGGTCTACTTGAAAGATGCAGGACTAAAGCTTTCCAGTGTCAGCAGAGATTTAACAAAATAGTCAAGGAGTTTTGATTTATGACTTTGAGCATCACTAATCAGAACTCCAACTCCAAAAAGAGGAGGAGGCAGGAGGCAGGACAGTGGTGTGGGCAGAGGAGCCCTGACTACTTCTGCCAATGCAAGGAGCGATAGCCAGCAGACTGTGGAGAGCGCAGTGGGACAAGCCAGTGGGGCATGTGCACTCTGTCGCCGGGCGAGGCAGGAGAGGTGGCAACGGTGGCAGCTGTGCTGGAGTACTGTTGAGGGTGGTGATGGAACTGGAGGAAGCAGAGGGATGAGCGCTTCCTGGAGGCACAGCATGCACTCTGCAGCTTATGTTGGAAACCGCTGGTCCTTCACGAGGCCTTGCAGGAGGAAGGCTGATGATCGTGGCTTCCCAATGCACGCAGTAAGCTAAGCCTTTCTGGGAACTCCAACTCCAGTGCCAACCTCCAACCTCCCAGAAGGCAGGGGAAGGAGGGAAAGGGAACAGGTCTGCACTACCCAAAGTGGGGTGGGGGTGGCGGCCCTGACAGAGAAGGGACTGGATGAGAAGAGGACCAAGAGGATGGAGAGGGAATGGAGGAGAAGAGGGCACATCTGCAAAGCAAGGATGGGCAGCCCAGAAGAGGTGAAATGTGTGTTGAACCTTAAGAAACATTCAGAAGCTTTTAGACAGAGGCTTCATAAATACATGCAGGACATTTTTGTCAAGTGAAGCTTATATTCGAACATTCACACATGCACATGCTTGGAACAAGAACAAGATACTGTATGTGCAAACAAGCTGCAACATTTCTTTATTGTAATCCAGTGTAAATAGTAATCAATGTCACCCACCTCTGTTTGTGTCTGACTTGGTATCTATCCTTACCCACCTTTCAGCAGATATAAGTACTGTAAACCTTTCCTGCCTAAGCTGAGGAAAGACATACAGAGAAACTGTGCAACTAGAACAAACATTCTTCCTTTCTCTAAGCCTTTGAAACATATACCTAATATTGGACAGGTTCTATTCCCAGCAGGTTGAGATGAAATCTTTATTATTACCGCCATAAGGCCAGAAGTCAAACACAAACTGGCAATGTTGCAAAGGTCAGTAATACTGGAAAATAATTCATTATAGAACGGAACAAATTTTGAAAGTCGTAATCCCACTTCATCCTGAGATATTTTTATTAAATGCCACTAAACTACATTTCTTCAAAATATACTGAACTAGGATTGAATATGTCAACTGCTGCAAGGATTTTATACACTTTATTCAAAAAGAAGTTTAAACCCCTCTGTTGAAGAATGGCTAACCAAACTGTGGGAGTATATTTCAATGTTGAGATTAGTTTAAAGGAAATTGGATTTGGAAGTCAATTCTATTTGGAAACCGTTTTTAGATTACAACAACACACATGAAATGGTGCAACGTCCAACATCTGGGTTTCAGAGTCTCTTTCTCTGACATACAATCTACATATGATTTACAGGATTCTTTTAATGTATTTTTTATTATCTCTAGTGTTTCTCTTTCCATCTTGTTGACTCCAGTTTGTGTTAACCGAGTATCTTTAGAGTTCAATAGAGACATGTTTTTTCACTAGAAATTGGGTATGAAATGCCTTGTAATATTTTAATATGTATTAGTCATATAATATTTTAGATTTGTTGGTTATCTGCCCATATTAATTGCTTTTATTGGGGGTTTTAAAATTATAGTTATCTGTACCATCTATTGTTATATATGATACTTTTGTATCAGTATTACTTTTCCTCCCATTCTTCTTTGAAAATTATAATAACTAGCTTTTAAAACTAAATAAAATGGAAAGCAAACCCGGAAGATATCATTTTAATTCTTCTAAATATTTGCTGCAGTTTTTGGAGATGGTCCTTCACAGAGTCTTGCAGCAAGCATCTTGCTGAAGTCCTCAGGAAAAAACAGAGTTTGAGAAAGTTATATTTGTGGTTTGAAGATAGAGATGACAAAGCAGTGGAACTGCTGTGCGAGGGGCTCCAACATCCAGAGTGCAAAGTAGAGAAACTAAGGTGAGTGGGCAGTGTTTCTTTTTCTGTTTGATGTGTGTTGCTTTCTCTTGAGTATTTCTGTTCTGGAAACATATCCAAGGAAAGGCAGTTCCAGTTGGAATATATATTCTCTTCAGTTCCTTCCAGAGGACATATGCCTTTTAAGATTCAATTCTATCTGTGATTATAACCAAAAGGCCAGGAAGATGGTTTGCTAGGAGGCGTGAGATCTGTGTCCTTCCTGACTGTAAAAACACTTTCTTAGCTGTTAATTGCTGAAAACCTGGCAGAAGGGCTACACCTTCTCTGAGGTCTGTTCCTAGGCGTGAGCCCCGAAGATTAAACATCTTCATTAAGACACTTGCAATTTCGGCAGCAATTACCCTGATAAGAATATCTGGTGCTAGATTTCATACATTTATAGGTCTGCAACGTTTGTTTTTTCTTTGCAGATAGTTTACTCCAATTTGTTTAACCTCTAAGAAAACTTTTACATTGGGGTTTACAACAATCCTTTTGTTATTAGGGTGGATTATATCATCTTGCTATCGCTTCCTGGACTTCCTCTTCAATTCTTTACTAGCTTCCTTTAATAGAATTAAGATCCTTGAAACTTTCTTCTACTTTCAGTTTTGGAATCTGCTTTGATATAAACCTTGGCTTGCAAATTATTTGCTAATCTACATTAAAAATTTTAATTTCCATCTACATTCAAGAGAGCCTTGCCTTGCTATAAATATTATTTTGATTATTATTAGCATTGAATAATTTTAACTCATCTCTCTTGATTAACATAATTCTATATGGTTTGTTGTGCTGAATATGTTTAACTGATCTTTTCAATTATATTTGTTTCACTGTTTCTGATTGTGACATTTCGCATTTGGCTAGCTTTGTTTGGCTATTTTTCTTCGTCCCTTCCCACCTAAATGTAGACTTATTTTAACCACAAGTGGGCATGCCAATGTAAGATAGCATTTTTTTCTTTCTCTTTAAGCACAATAATTTTTTTTTTTTAATTGAATCTCTCAGGACTGTTTCCTTTCTTTGAATGAAGATGACAACATGTGAATAATACATTAATTTCTTCTGACAAAGATACTCTTAATTTTTAATACTGAAGATATGTTCATTCACTAATTGAATTCAGTGTTAGAACTTTGTGTACATTTCTCATAATGTATTAATTGTTTATGATGTTGTATTATATATCAGATATTAATTATTTTTTATTAATTTTTTACTATTACCATTTGATTCATTTTAATTTCATGAGTACAAGTAGAAATACTAAGCACAAGGTTCTGTATCATTTTTCAAAAATGAGTAAGAGAAAACAGAGTAAGGACCTTTCTAATTTGGAAGAATCCCAGCAAGATACCTCAGCTTCTTCTCCACAATCCCAAGACTCCTTTACAGGAGAGCTTTATGTATTGGAAGGTGATCTCTTCAGTTATTTCAAGAGTAAACAGTAGGAAATGAGAGAAAATTTCAATTCTCAATCAGGAAATATCAAAGACAGATAGGACAGATTCAGAAATCAGGTTGAATCTCAGATTAAAGGAATCAAAAAGTTGAAGACTGAACACTCAAAATTCTCTAGTTCAAAAGTTTCAGCAGACAGGACTAAACAAATTGGAAATGAAAGTGGAATTAGTGGAAACCGATTTCTGTAAATACCATTTTAAACTGAGAGGTATACAAGAAGATTTTGGTAATGTTGCCTTGGAAAGGAATATAGAAAACTTAAGACTCATTTTGATCTCAGTGTGGATGAATCTCTAGAAATTCAAGGAAATAATGGAATAAATGTTAGGATTTTCTCATGGGAAGAAGTGCAGCTCATTATCTTTAAAAACGTATTTGTTATGGCTAAGAAAGTCATGTGAAAATTGTTATTGTTGGTTTGCACGTTTACTGCTATTTACTGCCACCTGTTGGCGTATGTGGGGGACGCGGTGGCGCAGCGGCTTAATGACGCTGAAAGTTGCTGGCAAGAAATGGTCGACGCT